CAAGAAAATGAGCGACGGAAACCATGTTGAACAGGAGCGAAAAATGAATTGGATTCTAAGTAATTGAAAATATGAGAGTACAAAATGTGCTCCATTATTTTGCAAGGAATACTTGTTAGTGAAATGGGTCGATAATTTAATGGAGAATGCTTGTTACCGGATTTATGCAGTGGAACCACCTTCGCAGTTTTCCATTCTATTGGGAGCGTTCCACACTCAAGAGATTGCTGGAAAATTTTGGCCAAAAAAAAGGATGAGTACATTTTAGTTTGTCTTAGAAATTTTGAGTTAATATTATCGCTTCCACATGACGATGATACTTTCAAAGAATCAATTAACTTTACAATTCCAGTAGGTTCCATGGAAATTGGAAACATAGGGCTAAACTCACAACGTGGAACGTCATACGATACATTTCCATCAGCTACAGAAAAACTATTTGAAAAAACATTATTAAACACTGATGGATATTCTGCTGGAGGGATTAACGCCCCAGACTCATCGCTAAGAGAAATTAAGCCGTCGTCATTTATATTAACAGTCTTCCAGAACTTTTTGGGGTCATTCAACAATAGACCCGGTAAAGTGTTCTTAAAAAAATTCTCTTTGACGTCAGATACAGCTCGGGAATATTCGACCTCAGCTGCAAAGTATGCTTCCCACCTATCAATCGTGTTACGTTGTTTAGCTGAACGAAAAAGTCGCTGTTTTTTATTGGAAAGACGTTTTAGGGTGTTAGTATACCAAGGTGCTTTAGCATCAGATTGAATACGCCTGACGGGTACATGCGCATCAATCAGTTCGTTTACTTTTAAACAAAATAATCTCCAATTTTCCTGCACGCTTCGCTGATCAAATGCTGGCAGATATGTGTCCAGATAGCTGCACAGTTTTTCATTAATAAGATCAAAATTGGCTTTATTGTAATCAGAAATAAGCTTTACTTTTTTACTATTGATTGGGGGAGCAACTTTGAGATCAAAATTTAACAACGAGTGATCACTTAAGCCTGGAAGATACGTAAGGGAAGATAGAAGGTCAGGGTGTGTGGACAGAATTAAATCAAGTGTGTTCGCTGTATCATTGACATACATGAGTGATCGGTGAGCGGGGAGAAAGCGGGCCCGCCCCATTCGGTAATGATTTGTAATGTCCCTGTAGGACACGAGCCGATCCCTACCCGACCATCAGAGCGAATGCGCAAATGTGGTGTTAGGGTCGATGTCTGCTCGGTCGGTGAAACCTCAAGCGGCATCGTGCGCGCATTCGTTCCCGGCCAGGCCGGAGTGGGCAGGTGCCCATATCAGGTAGATCTTGCCGGTCCGCGCGTCGTTGCGGAAGCCAGATTTAAGGATTGCAGACGCCTCTGGTGAGATTCGTCCTCTCGCGTAATTTAGAACGGCAGACTTGGAGTCGCTCACTACGTATTTTATTTTCGTGGAGGCCGTCATTGCCAGGGCAATGGCCGCCTCTTCGCCCACCTCCGTTCCGCTCGTGCGAAGCGAGCCGGAAGCGATGGAATTTCCCTGTCGGTTGACTACCACGAAGGCCATGGCGTCGCGACTCGCGTAATCGGCCGCGTCCACGTACACCACGTCCTCAAACTTTTCGTATTGTTTGTGAAGGGCTTTCGCCCTGGCCTGTCTTCGCCCTAGGTTGTGTGCGGGGTGCCACGTTTTTCGGTATAGGTGGAATGTGTATGCTCTCCCTTATTGCTGGAGGTAATGCGACTTTGGTTGGGGCAGTCCCCGGATGGGCGATGCCGAGCGAGTCGAGGATGTACCTGCCAGTCGGGCTGTAGGTTAGTCGTTCCCGTTGAGCTAAGCGTTGGGCTTCGATGAGTTCGCTGAGGGTGTTGTGGAGCCCGAGTGCCTCGAAGCGTTCGGTCGACGCGGTGAGTGGGATCCCGAGGGCTTGTTTGTAAGCTCGCCTAATGAGGGCGTCGATTTTGCGTTCTTCGTCTTTTTCAGGGTATAAGAACGGAGTGACGTATGTTACCCTGCTTAGGACGAAAGCTTCCCTGCTGGAAATGGCAGGCCTGTTCCAATTGAAATGCACACCCAAAACCTATGAGCATGAATGTGCAATTGGCGCCGATGAGAAAATCCGATGTTTTGCACATTGGTGCAACTGAAAATGCTGCAGAGAAGCCGCAGCACGGGGGAAGGCCAAAGAATCGGTTGAGGGAAAGTCAACTTTAGGGGACAAGCGCCATGATGCCAATTGTGTCAATGTGCACGACACTCAGTTTGCTCATTACCGCTCATTCCAGCCAGTGGCGCTATGTGGCAGAGCCATTGTACGGGAGATAGCAAAGACCCATGCACTGCAGAGAAGTGAACTCGGTGCAGTATGGCAGTGACAATGCTCAATCGCCAAATTAGCACACCCTTGCAAAAATTTTCTATGGGACCGATAGAGATTTTTATGCGGTCAATAGGATTTCATCGTACCAATGGGCATTTCTACTGGGCCGATAACAAGTTATATCGTACCAATACAGACTTCTCTTGTACCATTAGGAACTTCTGTGGGACAAGCAGGAACTTCTATGGGACAAGTAGAAACTTCTATGGGAACAACACAAATGTTTTCTGGTCCGGAATACAAGTGCCTATTGGTCCTTCAATAGGATCAATAACAAGTTGTACTGGTTAAACTGAAAGCTTCATTGGTGAAATGGAATGCATTTCGGATCGAGAACTTTTAATGGTCGACTGGGAATACAGAACATAAAATCTATTAAGTGGGCATCTATCAGGTTAAACAGTATGCTTAGTGGAGAAATTAGAGTTGTTATATACTAAAGTTTTATGTTTTGAGCACAGGAAAATAATTTTTGCCGCAAATATACCCGAAGGCAGGCACGCAGCCAGGATTTTGATTCGCCCATGACAAAATACTGTATGAGGGGGAGGGGGGAAAGGAGGCCCCACCAAATGAAAGGTTTGGGAGGAGGGGGGGGGGTCCCATGGTTCCCCCCCCCCTCCCCCCCCCCCCCCCCCCCCGTGCAGATACGTGCGTGCCCGATGGGTTCCTCTCTGTCAAATAAACATTTTTTTTTTAGCTATATAACTTGGGTTGGGCCATGTAGACACTAATTAAATAAAACATTCAGTTAATAAAGTGAATATGAACTCTTTTTTTGTCACGTGTTTTAGAATTTCCTGATTATGTACTGTCCTCCTTCGTATTATAAAACATGCGGCTGCCAGTAAAACATAAAGAAAAGACTATGGGGAACGGGAACATTGTGTGTGCATAGAGTATGCACAAGATTCATGAATAATTATATATAGGCAAGCCACGAAATTCAGGTATCATCGGAACTCTGCAGTTTTAGCGGTGTAGTCTGTCCTTTTGTTTTCCAGGATGTTTCAGTAACAGTAATAGCGTAAACGATTGCACCAACTGGATTATGTATTCACATTAGACTTTGCTCCGTTTTATTCAGTTTTACCTGGTTTCGGAGTGGAACGTTCTCGTTTTTGTATAAATTTCGCTCCAGAACCGAGCCAATCAGAGTAAAACCGGGTCAAAAACAGAATAACACTGACTCAAAAATCTTATTATCATCTTTCACGATTGGTCCAAAGCTCTCCGACTTCCGACGTCGGGACTTTAAAACTTTGGCGGAGTTGGCGAAAAAATGCGATACTTCAGGCTTCCATTTTGCCATGTGAACGTATCCTGTTTGAGCCCTAGCAGAGGCTACGCGCTCGTTCTGGGGCGGCAGATCACGTGCACATTCTATCGTGGGCATGCTTTTTATTAACAGAAAAGAAAAGCCGGTAGTGTCGAATAACATCCAATAATTATTAACACCATGGAAGTCATTAAAAAAAAACACATAAAATGCGCACACACTCACACACACACGAAATAAGGATGACCTTCCCGAAATTATGAGTGCACCTTGTTTCACGCGCAGTAAGTGTCAGGCAGCGCTTTCCACTTCGTAGTTGAGCAAGGAAGTTCCTTTTTGAAAGGCATTTTACGCGCTTGTTGGCAGTTTGGGCCTTTAGTTTGGCTTCTGGCTTCCCAATGTTGTCGTTTTCCTTGATGCCGGGAAGAGTGTACACTCCAGCAATGAAGTTTTCGAGATTCAAAAGCCCTTCATTTTGCGTCCAATTAAAATGAAGGCCAGCCGAAACAGGGTACGTCAGACTCGTTACATTCGTCTTTGGCAGTAGCCTTTTCGGAAACTTGGACAGGAAATTGGTCTTCAAATCTCCCGTCACTTTCACAATTTTATCACTTGTGTCTTCACTAACTGGCCCAGTACTGTGACCGCTTCTGGTTTCATTGGTACTACTTAGTTCACGGGGAGTTTTTGTCTCACCGTGTTCCGAGACAACCGAGCTTGCAGAAACTGCTGTCGGCGACGTCGGTTCTGGTCCCTGGCCTGTTGTAGCATTTTTCAGGACACAACTTCGTCTCAGGACTGTTGTCCTTGGCAAGCTGGGTATACTTAGTGGCTCCAAGTATATTTTTTTGTTTGGGTTCATGGTCGCACAGCGCGACACCCTACGTGTCTCAAATCCAAATTTGAAAATTCGCACCGACGTCGTCCCGCAGCAAATGCAATTTTCTAATTAAAATGACAAATAAAAATTACTCCGTTATAAGTTTAATATATATTCAGTATTTACATTTGACAATTAAGTAATACCATCATTTTTAGAAACGTTTATTATTTTCTTAAGTGCATCAGTCACACTTGCGGGCTTGCGGGTTACACCACGTGACAATATAGAGTGAGCTGGAGTCAATAGAGTGAACAGTGGGGTCACCCGCATGCATAGCCCGCATGACATATAAAACCAAAATAAGTTTTCAAAGTGCGATTTATGCAAATTTTTTGCTAAATTAAGGTCAATAAGTAAATTTTTTAAGTATTCGTTTACTTCAGCAAACAAAAACAAGAGTTAAAATACGAAGTATTAAAGTCACGTGATACATCCCTGCGTCAGGAAGTGGCCCGACGTGATAAACCGAACGGTCCGGCCGGAGGACAAGGAAGCGTGGAAGAAGGAAGAACTGCCGAAGCTGCCGAAGCAACGTTCGCGGGAAGTCTAACCGCCTGAAGCACGTTGCAGAGTCGAGACCAGTTGAGCGGCCGGAATTTTACGAACGATTATGCAAGCGTACGTCTTGAGGACGACCATGAGCCACATATCATCTCAAATTTCTGCCCGTCAAGCCTTGTGACGAAACGGAATCGGACTTCTTCCAAGGCGCGGATCCTAAAGTTGTTTGGTAAGTCCTAGTCTCCACACGCGTTGTGCCCAGTCTAGTGACCATCTCCTTTAAGTTAAAAATTGCAGCTTTAAGCACAATATGTGGGAGTAACTCTCGGCGCCGGTTGTTTCAGGATCGCAGAGTGACGCGGAAACCCAGTGACAGTAAGCGGGTGCTAGTACCTCCGACGAGATGAGTGACTGCCCGGGAGGGCTGGAGGAAGCTTGTATGAGACAGGTAATTGTAATTTCATTTTCGCGCTTGCGACGCAATTCATAAGACGTATTTTAAATTTGAGATTTTCTTTATACTTCGTTTCAGCTTCGGTCCGAGCGCGGCCGATGTTATGAGCCGAAGGGCCAATCAAACAGCGAAAGAGACACAACGCCATGGCGTGCTCTCTGCAGTTGATAGGTCCAGCCGGTATTCTCCGTCTCTTCGTGCGTGCCCCTCCGCCGGCTAGTCTTATCAAGCGCAAAAAGCACACCATGACGCTGCGATTTTTGCGGTGTTTGATTGGCCCTTCGGCTCATAACATCGGCCGCGCTCGGACCGAAGCTGAAACGAAGTATAGTTATGCCGCCACAAGTACAAGGAATTTCATCGATAGGGGTGCCGTGTGTTTGTTTTCATGTGCCCAGAAACTAGGTAAAGGTTATGTGTTTTAACATTTTTTCTGTGCTGATAGGCTTAAGGTTAGAATGAATGATATCTGTCAAGGCGTGGCGCAGTGTGTGTCTATTTGGAGAAGAGGTGTGTGTGTGTGTGTGTGTGTGTGTGTGTGTGTGTGTGTGTGTGTGCGTGTGTGTGTGTGTGTGTGTGTGTGTGTGTGTGTGTGTGTGTGTGTTCGTTTGTTAGTTCGTTGGGGGAGAGAGAGGAGATGAAGAAGAGGAGGAGTGTGAGGGATCACGTCGAATCATTCAAATCGTTAACTCTGACAGTAATGAGGTAAGAAGGATACCTGCTAGTTACACCGGTTCGGTTTTGTGCCAAACTCAAATTGCGTTTTGCCGCGTAAATATTGGTACAATTTTTTTTTTCATCAACAAAATTAATTTTGAGGCATGCCGTTGACAAATAGGACCCCTGTTTTCAATCCCAGTCCAGGTTATTCGCGACTCCAGCGAACTATAGATGGCGCGCTGCTCAGGCAAAATTCGGACGAGAGAGGGTCGTTTTCGTTGTTCAGCATGCGGACCATCACAAATTCCTGCACTGCAGCGTAAAATCGGTGTTACATTTGAATGCAAAGCGATTTTTCGACCCTAGAAACGTTTGTCTACTCAGTGCCTGGGAAGGACCCGGTGGAATCATTAAAATAATTACTGGAAACAATGTTTGTTTCTATGCTGCCTACGAGAACCAAGCAGCGATAGCGGACGACAGAGTCGGGACAACCTCCCCTCCTGAGCTTCTCGGCGCTGCCGCTACGCGGCGTCGATTTCGCTGGAGTCACGAATAATGCGCTGATAAATTTCCTGTACATAGTGCTGCTTCAAAGAGGAACTGAAGTTTATGTCTTCTATGTGTGCATTGGCAATGGCATGTGGCTCAACAAGACTTCCCACACGAAAGTTCTCAAATAGAAAAGGGAATCAATGTTCATCCGGTAATTATCTCCGCCACAGATGGCCTCCTTGGCGAATTGTAACCGGCAGACCTTCAAACCGCACAAAGGCTAAGCAACGCCACAACTGGATGCAGCAAGACTAAAAGCTTTATAATATACTGTAAGGACTATGGCTTTATAATAAGCCTTTTATAGCAAAACATACTGATCTGAAAAGCGTTGTTTGTGGTTATTTTAAAGTGGTGTACGGAAACTTCGTCGTATTGTATTAATTCTGGTTCACTGCACAGTTAAAAGGTTTGTCTTCGTTTGCTGCCAGAGAAATATAGCTTGCGATGAACTAAATCAAAGTTATGACTGCTGGTGTCATGTACATATTCAGAACTTTTTTTTATTAAAATAATTGTAATCAAGTGTTTTTATGGGTTTTAGCACTGTGATTAAGATGCGTCAATGTGTTTTCTAAGAAAGACTACTAATTTGCAGTTTGTATCTTCTCCTAAAATAGTTTGTAGATCTGAGCATGTATTCATACCTGAATATGTGCCAGGCATTCCCCAGTATGTGTATAATTGTTTACTAGGCCTGTAAGCTTCCCCACTACATCATTGCCGCAATGTTAGCGCTTCCCAGCTATTATTCGAGAGAGATAAGTGTTTCTCATGATCAATTAGGTTGAGATTGTTTAGCGTTAATGTTTTTGAGTCCCCCATTTTTAATTCCTGACAGAGCGCTTCAATGTCCGTTTATTTTTGGTTTGCCGCTATTTATCACCACAAGCAAAAACATCACGCCACTGGGATTAACCTGAAGCTCACCTCATGATTAACGACGCTGCCGTCCACTGTCTTAAGGTGGGCCTACGTTCATGGGTACTTGTCTAGTGGTTCTGGAGTTGATGTTGCTGAGATAACCGAGACGCCGATTTCTACGATGGCCTCTGTCAGCATCATGGTCAATTACAGCTGGCCCGAGCCCGAACCAGGCCAATCAACGTGCTGGCCCGAGCCCGGCCCGGGCCCACAGTCAAAAGTCTGAGCCCATCCCAGGCCTGGGCTTTCGGGTAAGCCCAAGCCCGTGCCCAGTGGTATAATCTTTAATCCAATCGCCATATTGAGATAAAGACGTCAAAATTCCTCAGTTTAAATGTCGGAAGTGCCTCAATAAGAGCAGGTATAAATATTAGTAGCAAATTTAATGATAAAAAAACTGCGCCGACTTTACTCAACAAGATTAACAATTTAATCAAGCGTTTCGTCTCCCATGCGGGGAAAATCATCAGTGAAACCTTCAACCAGGAATGAGTGAAAAAACTTCAACAATCTTATTTAAGCAAATCCGCATAAACATCGTGGGAGGGGGCCGCGGTTAGAGTTGCAAGCTGATGAGTCACTTCAGATGAACCATGATTCCACCAACCTTCGTGGACCCCACCTTTGTGGACCCCACCTTTGTTCACACGCCAGAGTGGACGCATTCTTAAAGTCGAAACAGTGACCCGTATTCCAACAATGGTCTACGAGTTCCGTCTTCGCTGTGTTTGTTTAGGCGAGTGCAGCGCTTCCAGCCTGTCTCCCCAATGTAGGATGTGTCACAGTCTAGACAGTTCACTTTATACACAACACCGCACTGGGACTCTGGGGGGGTGTAATCTTTAGGTTTAGAAATGAAGTCACGTAGTTCATGGTGGGGTTTGAAAGCTGTGCGGATATTCAAAGGGGCGAGGGCCCTGCGAATGGACTCAAAAGCACCTCTCAAATAGGGTATTGTTGCTTGCCCTGTCCTAAGTTGTCCATTATCCTGACTTCTTTGTCCCATCTGTTTGTGCGTGTTATCAATAAAACGTTTCGGATAATTCCGCTTCATCAGCAGGTCAACAATAGCAGCATCCTCAGAAGCGCGCAAGCCGCCTCGGTGGCTCCGAGGCGAGAGCGCTGGCCTACGGATCCCCATGTGGCAGAGGCTTATTGCGGAGCAGGCGCCGTGTAACCGAGCTTTCGGTTGCACGTCAAAAGATCCCCAGGTAGTCTAAATTAATCCTCAGTCCTCCGCTGGGGCGTGCCAGATGCCCGTCGTTGGTTTAGCATGTAAATCCCCCAAATTTGACTTTTTTCTCAGAAGCGCGCAATTGAGGATTAGAAGAAATGCATTCGGACTGGTGTAGTAGGTTTTTTACGACAGCCCTTTTATGTTCGACAGAATGATGCGAGTTAAAGCTTAAGAGGTTGCCTGTATCACAGCTTTGCGGTACACTGTTGTATATAAGCGACCGGTACTATTTCGGAACACATTAACATACAGAAAAGGCTTTGCACCGTTCTGTTCAACTTCATGTGTGAATTGGATTGATGATTCAATGCTGTTTAAAGCTAAATGAAAGTCACAAAAGGGACATGGCAAAGGCCACGCATGTGACAAGAGCGAAGACGGAACTCGTAGACCATTGTTGGAATACGGGACACAGTTTCGACTTTGAGAATGCGTCCACTCTGGCGCGTGAACAAAGGTGGGGTCCAAGCAGGTTCGTAGAATCATGGTTCATCCGAAATGACTCATCAGCTTGTAACTCCAGCTGCGGCCCCCTCCTCAATGTGTATGCGGACTTGCTTAAATAGGACTGTTGAAGTTTCTTTCGCTCATTCCTGCTTCAAGGTTTCACCGACGATGTTTCCCAGATGGGAGACGAAACGTTTGATTAAATTGTTAATCTTGTTGAGTAAAGTCGGTGCAGTCTTTTTTATCATTATGATTCCCGGCTTTTGGAATATTTTTGCAGCACATTTAATGAAGAAATGGATGCCGATGAACACCTGCCAAGGTTGACTAAAAATAAACAGAAACATCCAATCAATAGTTATGATTGCACTAAGCGGTTGCTATGTGGATGTTTTTTTATGTTCGACAGCTCAGCAAAGTCTGCGGATCTGGTTATGCTTCCTGTACGAGACAGATCACGAAGCGGTTGCTGACTGACCAGTTGGGGCGAAAATTTTTGTGGGAAAGACGTAAGAGAAAGTTGACATTCAGGAACCTTCACCTTGCTGAGTGCATCATAAGTAAGTAATCTCTGGAACAGTAGTGCAGATCGCTTCACATGGAACCAGATTTATGGAATTGTTGGTGTCATACTTCTGTTGCTTTCTTTTATCAGATGCAGTGCAGAGCTGCCATAAATGTGAAGACTTCAAGGTAGAAACCATGGTCACGGATTAACTTCGCCACGCACATGCCTGACATCAGTCATCTCAAATGGTAAGCTGGTCTTATTAAGCTGATGTTAGCACAAAAATCAAACTTTTCTAGAACAGTAAGTATGGTGTGCAATTTCTTCAAAGCATAATTTCTATATGAGAGTATTTGAATGCTTTAAATATTAAAGCCAGTGACACCTTTTTTGGTTTAATTTGAGAGCAAATACTGCAGGTGTGAACAGTATTGAAGAATTTTAAATAAAAAAAATTTTGTTTGGAGTGTTTCTCTAAGAGGAAAAATTTCATTATGTAATAGTACCTTATTATGGATTAAAAAGAATGCATAGACAACGAATTTTAAGAACACTGATATTTGGTGTAAATCTAACAAACAAAAGTTGGCAATACAGTACACGCATCCAGCATGAATGTGCTTTAAAAACAAGGCATAAAATACTTGTGATTTATTTACATCAGTTCCAATTCTTGCATATTTGAGTCACTTCACTTTGAACTTCACTGTTTTATTAGTTTTGTTTCAAAGAATGGTAAACCACTGCTCACATATCTTTAACGTAACCTTTTTTCGTTGCTTTTCAGGAACATTCTCCACCACAGGAGAGAGAGATGTGAAGTGCCTTAAGTGGGCCTTCATTGCGCTGAGCTTTTTATTATGTTTATCAGACATTTTTTTTAAGCAAAGTATCCTGCATTGTTCAGTAAGTATACTTTATTTTGAAAACCTCATGCTGTCTATGCAGCATTGTTCAAAAATTATACTTTATTTTAAAAGCATCAAGCACTGCTCGTCTGTCTAACAGTAACAATAAAGAGTTAATGGTGATTTGTTTGGCACTGCAACTTTTTCTACAGAACGGATGCGCATGCCTGACAGGCTGGGCAGGAATTTAGTGCGCTACTCACGTTCAAAGTTACGCTGCAAGACTGCAGCGGCATCTTTTGCCAATGTGTCGGTGCTACAGCTCTCATGGAATTCTGGTGTCCTCGTCACTAGAGCATATGACTACTGAAGCCTTAGACTTCAGTAGTCAATTCCTCAGGGCCATTCGTCATAGCTTATAACAATGTTTGTGTCCAGTATTTCAGTTCTCTCGCATGTGGCGAGGTCCACCTCACTAAAACGAGTCAGCATCAGTAGTGTCGCCTTCCTTGTCAGTGTCGTCTGCATTGATCCTGTGGTAAAGCTTCTGAGCTTGATGGTGAAAAAAAAACTTCAATATAAAGAATGTCTGCTGCGGGCCTGATTGGTACATTATACATCTGTAATGCGCCATTTAGGTATACATTGAGAGCATGCACGGGCCATACAGCAAATCTGCCCTCTGAGCTCTTGTTTTGTAAAGAATTGGACTCTTATCCGTTTAAATTTTTCTGTAGGACAGTTTACACGCTATATGCTAGCATAAAATGAAGGCTGCTTAGGCACTTCCTTGCCCTCCTGGCATAGGGCTGGTCCCTATACCAGGAAAGGTAATATCTCTGAGGTATGTACATGGTAAATCCACAGGATCAGGCTGAACATCCTACAATGGTCCTGAATGTCCAGCTGCATCAACCAGATTGTGTTAGTGGTACGTTTTCTGGGGAACCATTTTGCACTGCACAGTAGATACTTTCAATGTTGGATGAATCGTAGCAGATATCCACTGGATATGTTAAATGTCCGAACAACACATCTCTCGGATGTTTAATAGACGGTTGCTGGTTGACTGGGTACCATCAAACCAATGTGCACCGGGGCACCTGTTGTCAATTACCGCTCATTGGTTTTCGCCCCCTAAACGCCATCAACCCAATGTGCACAGGGGTGCCTGTCGTCAATTGCCGCTTATTGGTTTTCGCCCCATAAATACCATCAATCCAATGTGCTTAGGGGGGCCTGTTGCCAATAGCCGCTCATTAGTTTTTGCCCCATAAATACCATCAACCCAATGTGCACAGGAGCACCTGTTGCCAATTGCTGCTCATTGGTTTTTGCCCCATAAATACCCTCAATGCAATGTGCACTGGGGTACCTGTTGCCAATTGCTGCTCATTGGTTTTTGTTTCATAAATGCAATCAGCCCAATGTGAATTCCCTAAAGGATTACCAATTCAGCCCAATGTGAATTCCCTAAAGGATTACCAATTGGTGCACATAGGTTTTTGTTTCATAAATGCATATTGCTCAATGTGTCTGGACCTACAGTTGCACATTGGTTCAATGTGAATTTTGGCCTCATTTCACATCGCCCATTTCCAGCAGGGTTGCACTAATCTTACGAGATTGTGTTCCTTCATGCCGTGATGGCGGTTGGCAATGCGCGAGATGAGTCGGGTGGTTTGATGTACGCTCTTTTCGAGAGCGAGGACGGTTTCAGTGTTGTGTCCGTTTGCCAGTATGCGGAGGCCAAGAACCCGGATGCTTCTTACTATGGGGATGCGTTGTGTCCCACCCGCGAAGAGTGTGACGTTTGGAGGGGTCGGATCTGTGCGCCGCCCCCGGCTGGTCGGCCGGTAGAGTAGAAGCTCCGATTTTTGCGGAGCGCAGCTGATACCGCGAGGGCCTATGTACTGTTCGACTGCTTCGATGGCCTGCTGTAGTGTGTCCTGAATATGACCGTCACTGCCTCCGGGGACCCAGAGCGTGACGTCGTCTGCGTAAAGGGTATGCTGAAGGCCTCCAATTTCATTTAAAATTTTGGGAAGACCAATCATGCCCACGTTGAAGAGAAAAGGGGAGAGGACCGAGCCTTGCGGCGTCCCCCTGCTCCCCAGCTCCATCTCGTCCGACTGGAGTCCCCCTATTGAGAGGGTAGCTGTGCGGTCTGAGAGAAAATTGCTGATGTAGTTGTACACCCGTCTTCCAAGACCAAGTTTGCCCAGGTTCGCGAGGATAGCCGAGTGTTTGACGTTGTCAAAGGCCTTCGTGAGGTCGAGCCCCAAGATGGCTCTAGTATCCAGTGGGGAGCAGTGCGCGCCGTCTATGACGTCGTATCTGAGCCGAAGCATAACGTCTTGCGTAGAAAGTTTTGGTCGAAAGCCAATCATGGTGTGCGGAAAGAGACCGTTGTCTTCCATGTAGCTGTTGATCCTGTTGAGTATGACGTGTTCCATTAGCTTACCCACACAAGACGTGAGGGAAATGGGTCTAAGATTTTCGAGCTGGAGTTTCCTGCCTGGCTTCGGTATCATAACTACCTTTGCCGTTTTCCACTGGTCGGGTAGTTGTCCCCGTTACCAGCAGACGTTCATGTACCGGGTGAGGGCTTCAACTGAGTCGTTGTCCAGATTTCTGAGCATTTTGTTAGTGATGCCGTCTGGGCCTGGGGCGGAGCGAGTTCGTAGGGCCAAGATGGCCCCTCGAACTTCGCTTACCGTGATGGGTCGGTCAAGTAGGTCGTTGTCCTGTCCCGTGTAGGGAGGGAGGACCTCACGCGGGGAGTCCTCGATGTATCTATCTTTAATGGTCTTGATTAGCTCTGTGTCGGAGCCATTAAATTTGTGTAAAAGTATATTTAGGTTGTGTCTTTGTGTGGTTTTGCTGTTGTCGGGGTCGATGAGACGGCGGAGAATATTCCAGGTTTTTGCGAGCCCTATTTCGTGTTCCATGCGATCGCACGTGCTGTGCCAATTTTGACACGTTAGTTGTTGTGCGTAGTCTTCGATGTCACGATTGAGGATAGCCAGACGCCGCCTGAGGTTGCGATTTAGCTTTTGTGTCTGAAGTCTCTGATGCAGACTGTGCTTGGCTTCCCACATGTGGAGGAGCTTTGCATCGGCCTGAGAGAGCTCTGCGTCTTCAGGGATTTCTTTAATAGCCTGCTTGGCAACCCTGCGGAGTTGTTCCGCCCATTCCTGAATGTCAGCTATCTCCTCGATGGAGGGATTACTCGCTATGTCAGAGGAGGCACGTTCAGCGGCCCGGATTTCGCGGAAGGTGTCCCAATCAATAAGGTGGAGTCGTTTACCGGATGTGCGTCTAGCGATTCCAGTTTAGACCGCGATAGAGACGAGATAGTGGTCGCTGCCTAGGTTTTCTTGAGTGTTGAGCCAACTGGCTTCTTTGTGCGTGTTTTTCGTGAAGGTGAGGTCGGGAGTGGTGTCGCCGCTAACGCTGTTTCCAATGCGGGTGGGGTGTGTTGGGTCAGTGATCAATGTGAGGCCCTCCCTCTGCGCATCGAGCCAGAGGTTGCGCCCCTTGATCGTGTCCCGTTTATATCCCCACTCGGGGTGATGTGCATTAAAGTCTCCGACAATGACCAAGGTGTTTCCCCGGGCTAGTTCAAGGGTTTTACGTAAAAGTTTGCTGAATTTGTGGGTGTTTAAGGGAGAGCGGTATACGTTTAGAATGAATGTGCTGTGCGTCCTGTGTTTCCTGTCCGGGATTAATTCAACGAGGACGTGAGCCGCGTACGGCGCGCTTACCCCGGTATCGCGACGAATGACCGGGAGGTTGCGTCTGACGAGGGTGGCTACCGTGGGTTTTTGCTTGGAGTTTACACCAGAGGCGTCTTCTTCTAAGTCTGAGAAAGATTTGCAATTGGAGAGTTTTGCAAAGGCGCCGGTTTCTCGGAGACAAACGACGTCAGGCAGTTCGTCCGAATTCTTGGTTTTAATAAATTGTTCGAGATGAGCGCGTTTCCTTTGAAATCCTCGACAGTTCCATTGCCAGACGACGAGCGTGCTGGACTTTCGGGTTCTATTGTGTTGGGAATTAGACATTATCGTGAAGATTTTGGGGGCTTTCCGCCGCAGGTGGGCGAAAATAGGGCTTAGTTGATTTTATAGGGCCTGTTCCCCTATCCCTGCCCACCCGTAGGGTGGCGTTTTCAGAGGCTGTAACCCTAGCGTTGAGGCTGGCGATTTGTGTGCCCATACGTTCGGCGAATTGGGCCAGCATAGCTTCGAATTTCGCGCTGAGCGTTTCGTTTAAGGTCTTACTAAGGTTTTCTCCAAATTCTCGGAGCATGTCGTCATCGGCGTTTTTTTTTTTGGAGCCCGAGAGTGCGGGCTGGCTCGGAGTACCGGGGCTTACTTCTTTGGCCCTGCGTTTGGACGGTGGAGAGTCAAGTGGTGAGTCATCCATCGCGTCGGCAGAGCCGTTTTCGGATGGGGTTTGAGGCGACTGCTTAGGTGGCATGGCTAGCTGGTTAGGTTGGCCTGATTTCTTAGCGGCCTGGCCTAGGTTGCAGGGAGAAGGGGGTGGCGTAGAGTCGGCACTGGTTCCCTTTAGTTGTGCTAGTTCGGCTTTGAGTTTTTTATTTTCCGAGATGACGAGCTCTAGCATCAGCCTAATTTTGGTAATCTCAGACTGTTGATCTGATTGTTCTGAGCTAGGCCCGCCCTTCGGAGGGGCACCGCGCTTATGGGAGGTTTTGCCGTGGGAGACCGTGTTTGCCCAGCTCATCTTGCTTGTTTGATTGCCTCCGGTTAGCTGCCTTCCATTTCGAGACGGGGATCTCGACTTGCGTCTCTGGTTCTGGCGGCCTTGGATGCTGGGGCTCCGGCGCCGCGACGACGAGCGCGAGCGATGTTGACTGCTGGCGGAGCTGTCCCTGGTCCCTGGTCCGCGACTCACGTCCCGTCTGCTTTGTCGCTCATACTGCAGGAGGCGTGGGAAGGAGCCCGATCTACCGCGCTGACCGGGCGTGTCTCCGCTGGGTTCGTCTTTCTTGAGTATGGACGGCGTCGAGGCTGGGTTGCCTGAGCCTTTTTGTGGTCGTCGACGGTTGTTCTGTATCTGTTGCTTTTCCCAGTTCCGCTTCTTAAGAAGGTAGGGAGTCTGGAAACGGAGTCGGCACTTTTTGTCGCCGGTCTGATGATCCCGGCCACAAAGTGCGC